CATGATATATTGTCAAGTGAAAAATATACAAAGGAATATCTGATTTTTCTATTTACAAACAAAATTCTTATGAACATGTTTACATACTTGTAAATGTATGCACCTAAAAAATCTGGAAATACCAACTTCTGGTTAAGATGGAGGCATAGGTAGACACACTGTGCCTCCTCTCACAACCAAAAGAAGGACAATTTAAAAACAACTAGAACTGACAGAAAATTGAACTGTCTGGAAGTCTGACGTCCAAGGAGTTAAAGTAGACACATTCATCCAGACCGGTAGGAGGGTAATGGCAAAGCAGTGGCTGGCGGACTCTGGGCATGGAGATAGCAGATTGCAGAGGAGTGCACCACAGAAGGTGGCTGCCAGACAAGGCAATCCCACGTTTGAGCACAGATACACCAGGCAAAACTGGTGTACAAGACAGACCACGCAACCCAGGGTCCCAGCGCCAGGAAATAAAGCCTCAAAACACCAACTGAAAATACTTGTGGGGGTTGAGGTGCCGGGAGAAATTCCCAGACTCACAGGAGAGTTCGTTGAAGACACTCATAGGGTCCTAGAATGTAAACAAACACCCACACAGGAATCAGCACCAGAAGGGCCAAGTTTGCTTGAGGAAAGCAGGGGAAGTGACTGAAATCCAGCAGAAAGCAGAGCAAGCACCATTGTTCCCTCTCTGACCCCCCCCCACATATAGCATCACAACCCAGTGACTGGGTTGCCCCTCCCTGGTGAACACCTAAGGCTCTGCCCCTCACTATGTAACAGGTGTGTCAAGACAAAAAAAATGGCTCCAACAAAAGAACAAATCCAAGCTCCAGAAAAAATACAACTAAACAAGGAAGAGATAGCCAACCTATCAGATGCACAGTTCAAAACACTGGTAATCAGAATGCTCACAGAATTGGTTGAATTTGGTCGCAATTAGATGAAAAAATGAAGCCTAGGCTAAGTGAAAAAGAGGAAAATGTACAGGGACCCGATAGTGATGGGAAGGAAATTGGGACTCAAATCAAAGGAGTGGACCAGAAGGAATAAAGAAGCACTCAACCAGAAAAGAATTCAGAAACAAGAATTCAAAAAAAATGAGGAGAGGCTTAGGAACCTCCAGGATATCTTTAAACGCTCCAACATCCGAATTATAGGGGTACCAGAAGGGAAAAAAGGAAGAGCAACAACTGGAAAACTTATTTGAACAAAAAATAAAGGAGAACTTCCCCAATCTGGCAAAGAAAATAGACTTCCAGGAAGTCTAGGAAGCTCAGAGAGTGACAAAGAAGGTGAACCTGAGGAGGAACGCACCAAGGCACATCATAATTATATTACCCAAGATTAAAAATAAGAAGAGAATCTTAAAAGCAGCAAGACAAAAGGAGGCAGTTACCTACAAAGGTAACTTCTTGCCTGTAAGATCTCTTTAGAGAAATCAGCTGACAATCTTATGGGTACTCATAAGACTGTCAGTACCCATCAGACTGTCGGCTGATTTCTCAAAAGAGACTTTACAAGCAAGAAGTGGCTGGAAAGAAGTATTCCAAGTCATGAAATCCAAAGACCTACATCCAAGATTGCTCTATCCAGCAAAGCTTTCATTTAGAATGGAAGGGCAGATAAAGTGCTTCTCTGATAAGGTCAAGTTCAAGGAGTTCATCGTCACCAAGCCCCTATTATATGAAATGTTAAAGGAACTTATCTAAGAAAAAGACGAAAAACATGTACAGTAAAATGACAGCAAACTCACAATGATTAACAACCACACCTAAAACAAAAACAAAAACTAAGCAAACAACTAGAACAGGAACAGAACCACAGAAATGGAGATCACATGGAAGGTTAGTAACAGGGGAGTGGGAGGAGCAGAGAGGGGGAAAAGGTACAGTGAATAAGTAGCATAGATGGTAGGTAGAAAATAGACAGGGGGAGGGTAAGAATAGTATGGAAAATGTAGACGCTAAAAAACTTGTATGACACATGGACATGAACTAAAGAAGGGAATGTGGGTGGGAGGGGGTGTACAGGGTGAAAGGGGGGGGAAAGGGGGAAAAGGGGGAAACTGTAATAGAATAATCAATAAAATATATTTTTTTTTCAATCCAGAAATACATGCCAAACTGTTTTAACAGTGTTGTCTTTGGAGAATATGATGAGAAAGGAAGAGAACAAAACAAACTTCATGTTTTTATTTTACATACTACTGGATTTTTTGAAATTTTTACAATAAGCATACATTACTTTTGTCACTAAAAATAAAAAACTAACACGGGCCTGTGAACCAGAGGATCGCGGTTCCATTCCCAGTCAGGGCACATGCCTGGGTTGCAGGCAGGTTCCCTGCAGGTCAGTTCCCTGCAGGGGATGCACTAGAGGCAACCATACATTGATGTTTCTCTCCCTCTCTCCTTCCCCTCTAAATATAAATAAATAAAATCTTAAATAAATAAATAAAAATAAGGTAATTAAGAGACACAGTGACTGAATGTAATGTGGTATCCTGGATTTCATGAATCATCAAAAAGGACATTCATAAAAAAAAAAAAAGGTGAAATCCAAATAAAGCCTACAGTTTAGATTTACAAATTAAATAAAATTAAATAAAAACATACAAATAATCCGAAAAACATATATACACTAAACTGCAACCACTTGGCCCTGGAAATGATGACACACTTGCCAGTAACCAGAAATGAAGACTTCCAGGAACTGGAATGTGGCAAACTTCACGGAACCTTACAAAGGTCCTGAAGTGATGACGCAGATTTTACTGGGTGTGTAGACTTCTTGAAGCCTCCTGGGTCCCGAAGATCAATAGAAGACCTCTGTTGTTCTCATGAGAAGACCCAGAAGGTGTTCCAAACAGCCACAACCAGTGTGTCAGAGCATGTGCTGCGCTGCAGGGCACAAACTGTGGCAACAACTACAATGAACAGAATTTCAATTTGGGGTCTTCTGAGTACATCCTGAATATGTCTTCTTTATTACTCCATGCATTCAATTTGCTTTCTCCCAGTTTTGAGGGAGAAATAATCATTTGTTCCCAATGCCACTCCTAAGAAGCCTCCCAGTTGGCCATGCCAACAGGAGACTGTCTTGGAGCAAGTCTGCCCTCTGAAGCTCCTGCTTCCACCACAGTTGAAATGGCTCAACCCCTCCAAGCAATCATTCAATCAGTTTTAGCCTGGACAAATAGTTACTGGACAAAGGACATGAACAAAGCAACTTTCAAATACTAACTCAGAGTGTGGGCTGTGGAGGTTAAAAACCATCACTAGAGAAACTGCCAGGCCCTGCTCCATCAACAGGGCTCTCTCCCCTCACCTGAGAATGTTCTGAACACCTAGCAGCAGCAGCAGCGAGCTCCACAATACTTATCAGCAGCATCTTCACATTTAATTAAAATACATTGTCCATTTCATAATTCCAATGTCTATTTTAAAAAGATTGTATTTAGAGGACTTCCGCCAAGATGGAGGTTTAGCTGGATGTGCCTGCCTCCTCACACAACCAAGTTTAGGGACAACTAAATATTAGCATCACAAAACACAACCAGAACACGGAAAACTGAACTTTTCGGAAGTCTGCTAACAACAAATTCTTCAGCCTGACCGGTAAGGGGCGAAACCAGTGTCCGGTGAGGACTTACAAAGGAGGGCTCGGTCGGACCGGTGCGGAATCCGGCGCACGAATCCAGTCACCCGGGTTCCAAACCCAGGATTGGACCTGGTGAGCCGCCGAGCAGCCCACCGGGGGAGCGACACAGTGGGGAGGCGGTGGCAACGAGTTGACTGTGGTTGCCTGGTTGCGCGCGAGTGAGGGAGTGAGCGGTTGGACCAGCCCGGCGGCGGCAGCTGCGGCGGCGGTGGCGGCAGCGGGGCGCCATTTCCCGCTCTGACCACGCCCCCACATACAGCGTCACAACCCAGCGACCTGGGACTCCAAGGCGCCGCTTGTCCCACTTAAAGGGCCAGAACAGACCAAAAATGTCGCAGGCAGAACTCAAAGCCCCAGAGATAAATCTAAATGACGAAGAAATAGCAAAACTCTCAGACGCACAGTTTAAAACACTGGTCATCACCTTCCTCACAGATTTGGTGGATTACAGCCACAAATTAGAGAAACATATGGAGGCTAAATTAAGGGAAATGAATGGAATTCCACAGGAATCCCATAGAGATGAAAAGGAAACTGGGACTCAAATCAATGCAATGGTCCAGAAGAAAGCAAATAATGGACAAGCAGAAAAGAGTCAAGGAGCAAGAATTCAAAGAAATGAGGAGAGTCTTAGGAACCTCCAGGACATCTTTAAACGCTCCAATATCCGAATTATAGGGGTACCAGAAGGGGGAAAGACACAACCACCAGTGGAAAAACTATTTGAACAAATAATAAAAGAAAATTTCCCCAATCTGGCAAAGGAAATACACTTCCAAGAAATCCAAGAAGCCCAGAGAGTACCAAAAAAGTTGGACTCAAGAAGAAACACACCAAGGCATATTATAATTACATTAGCCAAAATTAAAATGAAGGAAAGAATCCTGGAAGCAGCAAGAGCTAAGGGGACAATCACCTACAAAGGAGTCCCCATCAGGCTGTCAGCAGATTTCTCAAAAGAGACCTTACAGGCAAGAAGGGGCTGGAAAGAAATATTCCAAGTCATGAAATCTAAAAACCTACAACCAAGATTGCTCTACCCAGCAAAACTTTCATTTAGAACGGAAGGACAGATAAGGTGCTTCTCAGATAAGACCAAATTCAAGGAGTTCATCATCACCAAGCCCTTATTATATGAAATGTTAAAGGGACTTATCTAAGAAAAAGAAGATAAAGAAACATGAACAGTGAAAGGACAACAAACCCACAGTTATTAACAACCACACCTAAAACGAAAGCAAACTAAAAGGACAGCTAGAGCAGGAGTGGAAACATAGAAATGAAGATCTCAAGGAGGGTTAGCAACAGGGGAATGGGAGGAGGAGATGGGGGAGAAGGTACAGAAAACAGGTAGCATAGACAGTAGATAGAAAATAGATGGGGGGGCGAGAATAGTTTGGGAAATATAGAACCTAAAGGACTTGAGACACATGGACATAAACTAAAGGGGGGTAATGGTGGGGTTGGGGGGGCAGGGTGGAGGGAAATGGAGGGGGGAATAGAACAACTGTAACAGCATAATCAATTCAAAAAAATAAATAAATTTAATTAATTAAAAAAAAAAAAGATTGTATTTATATATTTATTTTTAGAAAGACAGGAGAAAGAGAGAAAGAAAGACACATGGATATGTGAGAGAAATACCAATTGGCTGCCTCTCCCAGACCCCCAACCCTGGGGACCTGGCCCGCAACCCAGGCATGTACCCTGAGCAGGAATTGAACCAGGGACATTTCAGTTTGAGGAGTGACATGCAGCCAATTGCGCCACACCACTCAGGGCTTAAATGTTTATTTTTAATGAGAAAAATTAATAACTATAGTAAATACAATAAAAAAAGATGTCCAAAATATAATTTTCCAATATGGTAATTTTGATACACAAAACAAGGCACAGGTGGAATACACAGAATGATCTTATTATTATGTTATCTTAAAAAGTTATAGAAACTGTCTTATTAGATAGTTGAAGTCCTTACCTTCTTGAGATAGATACTGGAATATATAGGAATAAAATGATGACTGGGTATTTGCTTCAAAATAACCTCAGGTGGGTGGGGAGGGTGAAGAGGAATGGGTAAGTAATATATGAAAACAAGACTGGCCACAGATCAATAAATTATTGAAGCTGTATGATGCTCAGTTATTACATTACACTAGGGAATGTTACTTCATTACTCTCTAAACTTTTGCATATGTTTGAAAATTTCCAAAATAAAATGCTTTTTAAAAAGTCAGAAAAAAATTAAACAAAGAAGCTTACTTTAAAAACTGAGGAATAAAATGAATGAAGATATTCAGTTATGAGTCCAGACTACTTCTGACCTCTGCTTCAAATTCCTTGAAATGATATACTTTAAAGAACTGAAGAGTTACAACAGTGAAGGAATATAAGATTAAGGGTGATATTAGGATATCAGTGGTTTTGACAAACTCCTCTTAAGTTCCTTAGAGTGGTTCTCAAAATGTGGTCCCTCAGACAAACTTCATGAAAATTACTTGGAAACTCATTAGAAAGGCAAATTCTTAGGCCACATCCCAACCTCCTTTGGAGGTAGGGTTGTGCAATCTTACAAGAAACAAAAGAGGAAACCCTTAGCTCAAACCAGGCCCAGGGACAACAATCGCAGAGAGGTAAAACCAATTGCAGGGATACTCCAAGCTCAGAGTCAGCAGCCATGAAAAGTTGGAGGCCTCCAGTCGTGACAGTTGGTCCTAACCTTGCTCACTTCCTAAACCATGTGGTTGGTGGGAGTGGGAGCTAGTTCTGCCCAGGGAAGAAGAGCTCCACCATCAGAATACAGCACTTTGGCAAAGAGATTGGAGGATAGGACAAGAACCTAGCTCTTCTGCCCACTACCCATGTGGGTATTATTACAAAAGGTTTGTGTGAACAAGCTGCCTTTTCTCAAAGTAAATGTCTTTTGAAGAAAGAAAGGCTCATACAAATGTGGGAAAAATATACACCAACTACCAATACATTCATCAAGTGAATCTCTTTCACATGTAAGAATGATCTTTTAAGAACAACAAATAGCAATACAGGTAATTAGTAAATTGAACAAACAGAAGACTCACAATCAATGGGGGAAAAAAACAAGTAATTCAAGGACTAGGAAAAAAAATCTGAAAAATCTAATCAGTATCCTCAGCAATGTAAGGGTACTACGTTTATTTTAAAAACTTAGAACAAGGCAGCTATCTTGACTATTTAAAAGCAAATTACTAAACTTAAAAGCTAAATAATAACATAATAGACACACCTGACAAGGACTAATGATCTGGAAGACAAAGAAATCTTTCAGAACAAAGAAAAAAGATCAAGACAAAATAAAAGTTAACTGACAGAGGATCAAGTCAGGAGGTCCCATATTCACTTGATAAAAGTGCCAGAAAAACGAAGCATATAAAATGGTTAAAAAAAAATTTTAATCATTTAAAAACTGCCCTTAATCCAAGAATGGTAGAATTCTTCAAGGTAAAAAACAATGGGGTCAGTAGAATAAATGACAAATGTCCCACATACCCATACACCTAGGCACCCTGAAATTTTAGAACTCCAAGCACAAAAGTCCTAAAAATTTTTCATAAGGAAAAAAGAAAGTTTTTTACCAATAAACAGAGAGAGTCATATTAGTGTCTGACTTTTAATCAGCAATATTGGATGCTAGCAAACAATCATGTTACAATTTAAAATCTGAGGGGAAATTATTTTGAACCTAAGACCCTAAACCCCCCCCCCAGTTTTTTTAAGGTGTAAACATTTACTTACTTGAAGATATGTTGCAGTAAACCAAAAAAGTAACTGTGGGATAAGAGAAAAAGAGGTGAGAAAGAAAGGTAACCATACGCATAATGTTAAAACACACAAATCAAGATCACAGCAAATAATCTGAAACAAATTTCACAAGATTACCTGAGCAGAAGAAGAGGCCCAGGTGGGAAAGTGAAATGATGTTAAGGCTGATGACTTAACTGGGAGACTAAACAGAGAAAAAGGATGACCACTAAAAGAATAGCAGTTTAACCAGTTCCAAAGCACCAAGGAAAAACAAGAAGAAATAAAAACACCACTCATACCAATTAAAAGCTAGCTAAAAACAAGCACAATATGGAGAAAAATACAAAACAAGATTGCAGAAATAGTCCAAACAATTCAATAATTTCAATGAATATCAAGGGGTTAAATTACACAGACTCTAAACCTGAACTCCCAGAAGCTGTTTTGACTACATTAATAGAAAAAAATGTCAATGCAGAGTATATTGAGGACAAAAAAAGAACATTTCAGTTATAAAACGCACAAGTCACCAACAGTTTCACATGCTTTCAAATCTCAGAAATCAACTTAAGTGGACACTTAGGTAAGAATATAGAAGGTTTGAACAATTAAGCTAAATCCAAAAAACTTTGTAGTCAAAAATACAAAACTACAAAAAACTCATAGAATATTTACAAATACTGAGTATATATTCCATACACTAGATACCACACAAGTTATATTCTATCTGGTTGAAAATTTTAAACATATTTAAGTAAATCTTGAGTTAAATATAAAGGCAACTGAATCTGAAATTATCTATTAGAAACAAATAACAACTGTTACCCCCAGCTAAAGACTGTCGGACACAGCCAAAGCAGTCCTTCATTTATTAGAAGACAAAAATGCTGAAAATAGAACTTTGCACAATGCATCTTACAGTGATGACTGTCAGTATCTCTGGTGATACGGTGGTCTGTTAAAGTGGCCTAGGAGTCTGCACTCATTTATGAAGATGAGGCCTCTGCAATTTGCATGCTAGCCAGTGATAAACTGCAGACTACTACTGGTAAGTCATATTTTAGAGTATCAATTTATAATACTGGTTACTTCATCCTGATGACATGAATTGAGTTAGGAATCACATCTTTGAATAATACAAAAGTTAAACTGAATTTCTGAGGTCAGGCAAGGCCTTATTCATTTTTATATCTTTTTTTTTTTAATTTATCTTTAGAGGGGAAGGAGAGAGGGAGAGAAACATCAATGTATGGTTGCTTCTCGTGCGTCCCCTGCTGGGAACTGGCCTGCAGGGAATTGGCTTGCAACCCAGGCATGTGCCCTGACTGGGAATTGAACCGTGATTCTCTGATTCAGAGGCCTGCACTCAATCCACTGAGCTACACCAGCCAGGGCTTCATTTTTATATCTTTATAATCTATGCACAATGGTGGCACATGAGTAAGCACTCAACAGTATTACACGAACTGAATTAATACACCAAACAGATTAGTTTCCAAAATATGAGTCTCACTGAAGAAACAGAGTGAAACATAATAAAAAGGTCTTATGTGGTTAAAAGGTTGGGAAACACTGACCTAAACATGAATTTTCACCTCAGGTCTATAATGCAGTGCTGCACAACAGGTGTCCAGGGTTAGGAACAGGTAGGATCTTACAGACATAGAAAAGCAACAAGAGGGCTGAGAGCTATGATCAGCTTTCTTGTCTCCCTTCTTGCAGGCAAGATATCCATGGACTTTGATAACCACAATGTCAGATAAAATTCATTTTTCAACTATAAACACAGACTAATTTTTAAAAACCTAGCCCCTTTTAGCTGTATGTCAAGAGAGTGGGACTCCAGCTCTAGCAAGCACAAGTGACTAGAACATAAAATTAAAGCCTCTGTATTATAAAAGACAAAAAAAAAGCTCAGTAGCTTTTATTTAAAACATTTAAAAAGGATTCAATTATCTTCATAGGATGAACTTTAACTAAGCCTAAAACTAAGGTAACTATTTCACAAACTTTCTGCTATAAGAAATCAGTTGAACCTCATCAAGTACTATACTTTATATACTTTCTCACAAGGAAATAAAAAAGGTCCAATTCTGAATCATACCAAAAACAAGCACTTTAATTGAATCTAAGCACACACAGAGGCTGTATCACTATTAATATTTCCAATGTTCAATATTTGAGCTACTGAAGCAATAGGTGAATTTCAAAATGTTCTTTGAAATAAACAAAGAAAGTTTAAATTTCAAGACCTTCTAATTATATTCATTTAAACTGGTTTACTTTTAAAATATTTCCTGAACAACGATTCTTCCTTTCCTGCATTAAAAATAAAGTAACTGTATGTCTCTCTAATCTATAGCATTGCTCAGCTGAATGAAACATTTTTAAAGCTTTTTTCATCACTACTAAACAAGTATCTTCAATTCTTAACTGGTTCAAGAGCCCATTTCCTTACATGACAGCAATACACACAAACATATACAAACAAAAAGAAGAATTCTGCCAGTAAATATTATGCTCGATCCCAATAATAACAGATATAGTCTAAAAAATCAGTTATGTATTTATTTGCATAAATTCAAAAGAAAGACTTGAAAAATCTAACATAATATCATATGAAGCTTACAATTTAATTACTAATCCAGTTTAAAAATAAGTTTTCCTCCACTAATGCGAGGATGGCATTATTTTACATGCTTCAGTTATGAGTAAAACATTACACACCTACACAACTTCAGTTTTTGTAGAATTATCATTAAGTCCAAAAAAGTCTTTTTTGATGATGTACTGAACACACTGCAAAATCACATTTCTTTCATGTCGAATGTCTGGAGCTAAAAGCTAAAAAACAATAAATACAAAGATTAGGTAGTAAATAAAATATATCCGACAAATACAATCTAAAATATTATGTGTCCCTTCCTCAAATGAAAACACAGATCAATAAAGATATATATTATATTTACTAATTATTTTGCTAAAAAATATGCAAGAATATTTCCTTTTAATTTAAAACTTGGAGCCCTCTCTAGGAATACCTAACAAGGGACAAGAAAAATAGGATTAAAAGTCTGCTGTTCTTTAATCTAAAAACCATGTCAAAGAGGACCCTACCAAAACCAAATCTATAAATAGTATAGAAATTGATAAGTAGATACAGTAATGATAGTAATGAAACTAGCAGTTAAAAATCTCAATATTCCTGGACTTTTATAACTTCCTATCATTGTGCTTATTGTAATAAAAAGAAAGCTAAAAACCCTAGTACTTAGAATAAGTACATAACCAAGGAGTCACATGTGCAATACTTTTTTTTTTAAAGATCTTATTTATTTATTTTTAGAGAGGGGGGAGGGAGGGAGAAAGGGAAACATCCACTGGTTGCCTCTCACACATCCTGCAACCAGGGACCTGGCCCACAGCCCAGGCAAGTGCCCTGACTGAGTCGAACTGGAGACCTTTTGGTTTGTCAGATGATGCCCAACTGAGCCGTACCAGTCAGGGTGCCATTTGTCAAAAATATAAAGTGACCTCAATTTATATGCTGATGTTATCAATGTAGTTTGGAAACATCATATAAAAACGTTCAGTGGAAAGATGATTTGCCCTTATATAAGGTAAATATTTTTTAATGCAATTTACTTTATAAAGCATTGAAATTTACAAAGCAGAAAAGCACATTTCAGATCAATTTTAATCACAAACAACTGTGTCTACATATAACCCTCACAGAGGGTAGCCACAGAACACTTTAGCTACAGCACAAGCACTTATCTGACAAGGCAAAACCAGACTTTTCATAGAACATCAGTAGTTTTACAACTCCACTAAAAAATCTGGAATGTTTTTATTTCTATCACTCTTAGACATGAAAGCCTTGGATTTTTTTTTTTAATAGCTTCATGTCCATTACTTAGAATCAACAGATGCATTGGTTCCTCTTTATAATTTAAAGATAACAAATTTTTTAGCATACCACACTGAGAATAAAGCCGATAATGCACAAAATAAATATATAAAAACCCTTTTCTCCTTTGAGCCTGCCAATTGTATTTTACTGTGCTTTCGATGAAAACTTTAGTAAACTTTTCGATGAAAATTTTACTGTGCTTTCAATGGAGACCTTTTGGTTTGTCAGATGATGCCCAACTGAGCCGTACCAGTCAGGGTGCCATTTGTCAAAAATATAAAGTGACCTCAATTTATATTCTGATGTTATCAATGTAGTTTGGAAACATCATATAAAAACGTTCAGTGGAAAGATGATTTGCCCTTATATAAGGTAAATATTTTTTTAATGCAATTTACTTTATACCTAAATACATACTTTTAGGTCGTTATACCTAAATACATACTTTGTAACCAATCTGTTAAACCAAGATTCTTTTATTCTAAGTGGTTTTGAAAATTATAGTTCTGTATTTACTGAACATAAGCTAGAGGCCAAATGCAGCCTCAGAATTAAGATACACAGATGACTTTTCAAAGACCTTTTTGTCTTGTGGTTACCTTAAAATACACACGCACAAACTCAGTGGCTCTATCTCCACGATGTGAAAAGAACACAAATATTAGAATGTGAAGAAAAAAATCATTTACCATTTCCAGGAGATATGGATGATGTGTTCTTGGTTCAAATAATGGATGACAGTTGTGATAATCTTTTTTCCTGTTAGGATTTGTCTTTTTGAAACTTTTCTTTTGACTCTTAAATTTGGCTTCTGAGAAAGTTCCAACAGTTGCTTTAACATCTTGACTTGATCTTTTAGGAGTATCGCCATGAGGAATCTGGTCTTCCGCCAGAACATCTGCTTCAGTTTTAATGGGAGCTTCTAAATATGTGTAAGAAACAAATTCAAAAATTGAAAACAAAAAACCAGGTTACCCTTCTAAAAAATAATAACAACAAACCCATAATAATTTCCCCCAGCCATAATACTGGCTTCTTATTAATAAAATCTAGGCATTTACAATGTATTACAGTATTTTTTAAAACTGTGAGTTATTATTGCCAAGACTTGAGGAGATTACCTCGAAGAGCTACAGAAAGTGAATGATCCCTGTGAAGTGATCCCTATGAAGGATACCAGAGGGAAACTTGGATCTACACAAATGAAGAATGAAGAGTGTCAGAAACAGTCATTTGTGGATACACAAAAGACATTTTTTTCTTGTTTATAAGTTTTTTAAATAGGTATAACTCATAAATTGGTATTTGCACTGCCCTAAAAAAACAGAATTAATCCAAAGGCAGTAAGAAAAAAATAGAACAAAAACAAATGAGACAAAAAGAAACAAACCATTATCAATAATTATATATAAACAGTTTAAACACCCTAGTTGAGATCAGATTTGGGGTAAAAGAGTAACAAGTACATGATGTCTACAAAAAAAGAGAAAAGAACACCAACCTTCAAATGATAGGTAGTCCTTGCTTTACACAATTTGAACTGAGATTAAATCTTAGGAACAGTGCAAACCAAGGAAGAGTGCAAATCTTAAACCAAGGAACAGTGCAAAGCAAAGACTGCCCATATCAAGTCACAGGTTAAAAGTAAAGGATGGAAGAAGACATCAAGCATACACCAATCATTAAAAAACTGGATGGCTATATCAATACCAATGGCTATAACAAAGAAGAGTTCAGAACAGGGACTATCACCAGGGACAAAGAGAGACAGTTCATAATGATACAGAAATCAATTTGTCAAGAATACAGAACAGTAACAGCTATTAACAGAGTGTCAATATACACGCAGCGCCTTGGCTTGTGTGGCTCAGTTGGTTGGAGCACCTTTCCAGAAACAGAATGGTCATGCAGCTCAATTCCTAGTCAGGGCACATGCTGGATAAGTCCCCACTCAGGGCACTTTGGGGAGGGAACGGATGGCTATTCCTCTCACTTATCTCTCCCTCTCTCTTCCCCACCTCCCTTGCTGGAATCAGTGGATATATCCTCGAGTGAGGATTAAAAAAATATATACATATTCAACAAAATCTCACAAAACTGAAGGAGAAGTCTATTATTAAGGTTGGAGACTTGAACACTGTATTCTCAATGATTGAAGAACAATTAGAAAATGAACAGGAATATAGAAGACCTGAGTGAGTATCACTAACAATCAACTCAGACTGACAAAGGATGTTTGAGTCATCAAATTCATGAAAACATTCACCCTGTATTGGGCTATAAAACAAGTCTCAATTAAACAGAAAAAACTGAAAGCATGTAGAAGATATTCTCTGAACATAATAGAGTTAAACAGCATACTTCTAAATAGCTCACAAGTTAAAGAACAAATCACAAGCGAAATCAGAAAAATATTTTGAAATAATGATAAAACCATAATATGTCAAATTTACGCAATACAACTAAAGCAATGCATGAAAGCAAATTTACAGCTTTGAGTATTCATATTAGAAATAAAGAAAAATCCAAACTTAATGATATAAGCTTCCAGTATAATGAGGTAGACAGTGAGAAGGTAAGAAATAACAAGACTGAAAATCAATGGATTAGAAATACACAATAGAGAAAAATCAACAAACCCAGAAGTTATTTCCTTAGCAAGATTACTGAAATTAATAAATACTTAGCAAGACTGATCAAGATTTAAAAAATACCAATTAATAATGATGAATCAAAGAAGGAACATCACTACTTATCCTACAGATGCTATAAGAAAATATTATAAACAACTTTATACCAATAAAATAGACAACTTAGATAAAACAAAAAAATTTCTTTTGAAAGACACCATTCACAAAAAATTACTCAAAGCCTGGATGGTGTGGCTCAGTGGATTGAGTGCCAGCCTGTGAACCAAAAGGCTGCTGATCTGATTCCCAATATAGGGCACCTGACTAGGCTGTGGGCCAGGTCCCCAGCAGGGGGCATGTGAGAGGCAACCACATGTTGATGTTTCCCTCCCTATTTCTCCCTCCCTTCCTCTCTGCAAAATAAATAGATAAAATCTTTAAAAATAATGACTCAAGAAAAAATAGAAAATCTGAAGAGAGTTCTGGCCAAGATGGAGGCTTACGTAGAAATGCTTAATTTCCTCTAACAACCAGAAGAAGGATAACAACCAATCTAAAAGCAGAAAACAACTAAAACTGCCAGAAAATCAAACTGTATGGAAGTCTGACAAAAAAGAGGTCAAGAAACATTCATCCAGACCAGTGGGAGGGGTGGAGCAAAGCAGAGAGGATGCATAGCAAGGTGATGGACCGGGTGATAAGAGGTGGAGGCCAGTGGACCACATGGTCCCACATTCTCATGTGGATAAACTGCGAGGAACAACTAGGCACCGAGACAGACCATGAAACCCTGGGTTTCAGCACAGGAAAATAAAGACTGAAAACACCTGGCTGTAAAATGCTGTGACAGTTCCTTGGGTTTTTAAGGTGGAAGATACTCCCAGCCTCACAAGAGTCTATTGGAAAGGCCCACGAGATCCTAGAAAGTACATAAACCCACCCACCTGGGAACCAGCAACTGAAAGGGCACAATTCACCTGTGGGAAGTGAGGGAAGTAACGGAAAGTGGGGCGAGAGCCAAACAAGTGGCACTGTTCCCTCTCTCACACCTCCCCCACATATAGCACCACAATGGAGCAAAGAGGGCTGCCCTGCCATGGTGAATACCCAAGCTTCCACCCCTTACAACATAACAGGTGTGCTGAGACAAAGAAATATGGCCCAAATGAAAGAACATGTCAAAACTCCAGAAAAAAAACTAAGCGATGAGGAGACAGACAATCTATCAGATGCAGAATATAAAACACTGATAATCAGGATGCTCACAGAAATGGTTGCATTCAGTTGCAAAATAGAGGAAAAAGTGAAAGCTATACAAGGTGAAGTAAAGGAAAACACACAGGGAAGCAACACTGAAGAGAAGGAAACCAGGACTCAAATCAACAGTTTGGACCAGAAGGAAGAAATAAACATTCAACCAGAACACAATGAAAAAACAAGAAATCAAAAATATGAGGAAAGGCTTAGGAACCTGTGGGACAACTTCAAACCTTCCAACATCTGATTCATAGGGGTGCCAGAAGGAGAAGAGCAAGAAACTGAACACTTATTTGAAAAAACAATGAAGGAAAATTTCCCCAATCTAGCAAAGGAAATAGACTTTCAGGGAGTCCAGAAAGCTCAGAGAGTCCCAAAGTTGGACCCAAGGAGGAACACACCAAGGAACACCGTAATTACATTAGCCAAGATTAAAAATAAGGAGAGAATCTTAAAAGCAACAAGAGAAAAGGAGACAGTTACCTACAAAGGAGTTCCCCTAAGACTGTCAGCTGATTTCTCAAAAGACACCTTGCAGACAAGGGGCTGGAAAGAAGTATTGTAAGTCATGAAAGGCAAGGACCTACATCCAAGATGCTCCATCCAGCAAAACTATCATTTAGAATGGAAGGGCAGAAAAGTGCTTCCCAGATAAGGTCAAGTTCAAAGAGTTCATCATCACCAAGGCCTTACTATATGAAATGTTAAAGGGACTTATCTAAGAAAAAGAAGAGGAAGAAAAATATGAACAGTAAAATGACAACAAACTCACAACTATCAACCACTGAACCTAAAGAAGAAAAATAAAAACAAACTATGCAAACAACCAGGACATAGCATCACAGAAATGGAGATCACATGGAGGGTCATCAGTGGGGAGCGGGAGAGGGATAATGGGGGAAAATGTACATGGAATAAGAAGCACAAATGTAGCTATAAAATAGACAGGGGGAGGTTAGGAATAGTATGGGAAATGGAGGAGCCACAGAATTTGTATGCACGACCCACAGACATGAACTAAGTGGGAGGGGAAATGATGGTGAAAGGCAGGGTGCAGGGAAGAGGGGAATAAGAGGGAGAACAAATGGGACAACTAGAATGGCATAAGCAATAAAATACATTTAAAAAAAGAAAATGCTACTCATTGATATTTGCTTTGCTTTGTGCAGGGTGGGGCCAAGGGAGGTTTACAGTTGTATGGAAAATAATACAATAAATAATAAGTAATAATACCAGAACAAACTCTGTTTGCACACTCACCACTGTAAACTTACTTTTGCCCACCCCTATATATCTTAATGATTCTGACAGCCCCAGAACCAGGCATAGTCTCTTCTTTTACTTCTTTCTTGAGGCACCCTTTCCTTGTTTAATACCAGAAAATCACTACTCATGTTTAAGATCCACTATACACTTTTGTTTTAATCCCTAAATTGAGATAGATCTTAACTGTAAAGATATAATTGTTAACATCTGTGAGATTTAGACTGCTCCTCTCCATTTAGAATACACCTAAATAACCAGCCTTCTAAATGCTGTTAATGATTCAGAGAAGGCCCACTTTATTTCCCTCATTTATTTATTCCAAAGTCCCTCTGTGTCAATACCCTTTCCATAGCCCAGAATATTGAAAGCTACAAATTTTCTAGTGACCTGTAGCCATACTTATATCTTACAAAGTAGATTTCAAGACAACAAAGATAACAATAGACAAAGAATGACATTTTGTAATGATAAAGAGACGCTACATCAAGAAGACATAGTACTTTTCAATAAATATGCTCATAATCAGAAAGCCAAAGGGAGAAAAGTTGGAGACCTAAATAGTCCATTGACAGCTGTAGGCAGATCATCAAAACAGAAAATCAATGAATATCAGCCTCAAACCCTGACCACTGTGTCTCACTTGATTGGGCATCATCCTGCAAGGCAAAAAAGATCACCAGTTCGATTCTCGGTCAGGGCACATGCCTAGGTTGTAGATTTGGTCACCAGTAGGGTATGTGTGAGAGATGGCTAGTCAATGTTTTTCTCC